TCCTTGTTATTTTTTTCTTCCGCCATTCCTTTCTTCCTCTTCCTTTTTCAGGATTCGATTCCTTCGTTCTATTTTACTTCACGTTCTTTCTCACTCGTTCTTTCCTTTAGCTGTATTTTTCTTTCCTCTCTACCCCCTTCTTTATCATTGTCTTTCCTCCCAATTCATCATTTTCCCCATTCTTCCTCTCTCAACCCTTATCAATCCCCTTCCATCCATCATTTATTCACTTTATTTCTTTTTCCTTTCCTACCATATCTTCTTTACTCCACCCCTCTGAGCCAAATAAATTTATCGCTCTGTCTGTCTGTCTCTTTGTCTTCTATACAGTATTCTTCTTTTCATTCTGTCATATTCTCTTTCCTAGGGTTTACTTGCCATCAGCACCTGGATCATTGCGGTAATGTTCCATATCTAACCCATCTTGGAAAACAAATACGATGAAAAAAAAATGTATCTCAGTTCTTGCCAAGTTAACGGGGAGTTAACTGAGTTCACCCATACAAAAAAAAAAGAAGAAAAAATGTGATATGTTGTCTTTGGTTAACAGAGTTTATGACGCTGTAAGCTACCGTACTGTACTTGTGCTTGTATCGAGTTTGTACTGTACTTTTTTATTATTATTTTTTATTTTTTTTACCTGTGTTTGTATCTGTGTTTTGAAGCCAATTTTATTCGAATTAAAGTATATTTTTTATGTTTCAAATGTGGTTTCGATCTAGATTTTATTTATAAAGTCAAAATCAAAGATTCTTGCTTGTATACGGATGTTTTCGAAGTAATTCTATTGGATTTAAATAATGGTTCCTTTATTATTACCTACAGAATATTTTGAAGCAGTTTTATTCGAGATAAATAACAGTGCGTGTTTTACGTTTCGAAGTAGTGTTATTCAAAATCATGATACGCACTTGTAATTATGTTTTTATAGGATTTTATGCGGAAAATGAAGACTTTCGTGCTTGTAATGATGTTTATACAATAATTTAATTCGTATTATAAAAAAGAAGACTAGTTACTGACATTTGGAGCAGGTGATATACTTCCACTTAGGTTCTTCTGGATGTAATGACAAAATTATGGCGTAGGTGACTAAGTTGTGTTCACGAGCGGCAACATTGCATGGTCGTCCGAGTGGTTGTGCTCTCGACCAAATAGCTTCAATTGCGTTGTTGGGTAGTAGAAACTGTCAAAATTACTATTAAACATTATACATAGTTTACCTGGGTAGTTGATGTCCGGACCTCTCTCTCTGTGTGTGTGTGTGTGTGTGTGTGTGTGTGTGTGTGTGTAATGATGAACTCAACCAGACATTTTGTGAGGTTTTCCAGCTCATAGTTTCCACACTGCTGTTACTACACGTCTTCCTTCCCACAACAGTAAACACCAACGCAAGAACTATTCCTTGGACGTCCTCTACAACCGCCTCAGTAAGTAGTATGTCTCCTTGCGTGCTCAACAAACGACTCTTGAAATGTATTATTCGTTTTTACGCGGGAGAATTCAGATTTTTATATATTTTTTTTAGTCAGTACAGGTTCTAAAGCGATGCACATAATTGTTCTGGGGATTCGTTGGTGACGGATACCGGCGGTGGGAAAATATCTGGTTGGAAAAGAATGTCAGATTCTGTCTTCGGGAGAGTGGTATAGGGTGGAGTACAATAAACAGATCAGAGAGTTCGGAGTAGAAGTATTTTCGTCGATTTCCCTCAATTTCCTTGATATACCAGACGTATATCATTTGGTTTTTGTTGAGAATTTTCCTTGGATTATCGAAAAGATGAACAATATGATAATACGGAGGAAGTAAGAAAGGGAAGGTGTCCAGCAAGAAGGAAAGATTTTGTAGAGGAGTCCCCAATACCCACTAATACTGATCTAACTAATGGAATCTTTTTTCTTCTCGGGATTGAGGGATATTTTCTTCAGTGATGTTTAACATGAACATTGAACACGCCCTTTTTCCTTGTCTATAATCTATATTTTCTATTATACGGGTAAGGAATACTATAATTATTACAGTAGCTATCACAGGATAACGACGACTGGATACAGAATGATATAACATACGATTACAGAAAAACCTCCATTTAACGGACTATATGGAGAGGAATGTCTGTTATATCGAGGTTTTGTTACATATCAAACCTCAGAAAGTCTTGGGAAAAACAACTTTATAAAATAGTAACGTCTCTATGTATCAAATTATTTATCTATCACTAAATTAATCCAAAATGCAGTCTCTGTCAATCTATTTTAAAAGTCTCTGTCAAATTGTCTATCAAAAATACTGTCTTTATCAATCTATTTACCTATCCAAAATAATTCTCTCTCTATCTACCACTCTATTTACCTATCTATCCATCATTATCTTTACTCCTCTCCCACTTTCGTATAGGGTGAATCAAGAGGAGGGAAATAAACGATAGAATGATAACACTAATAAAAAAAAACGCTCTAAGTTTCTTCTTTAATTTTTTCTGCTTCATTTTTCAGAACGTTTGACTTCCACGAATGTTTTCCTTATTATCTTGATTAGTTCTTTTTGCCGCCTGAGTTTCGTACCTTGCTGTACCTGTAACCCCTTTAGATTGTATAGTAAATTTGTATCGCTTATCGTTTGTGTACCTGCACTCTGTGTTTATTGCATATATATAAGTTAATTCAATGAAAACTTGTAGGACAATTTTACTGAATCTCTCTCTCTCTCTCTCTCTGATCAAATAATCCTCTATACAAATATACTTTTCTACAACAATGAGCATGTACTGTAGATTGTCCTGACTGTAAACTGTATTCGTCGCCTTGAAATATTTCTGTAATAGTGAAATAAAACTTTCCCTTTATGTATTTTTCCATAACCCTCGGGAGTGTTCATTCCTCGACTGATATGGCAAGTTTTATAATATGACTCCACCACAAGTGTACTATTCTGTAACCTTTTACTTTCCGACTACCGTGCTGTACATATTACTTCGAGTGATGTAAAAACTTGTGGGGTAGCACTGTAATATAACTGTCCTATTCTGAAACATTGTACTGCTTGTCTACCTTTCCGTATTGTCTCACTTCTATAACTGCAATAACTTGTGGAATAATACTGTATCGCTGTAGAAGACGGAAGACTCGTGTATTGTGTTTGGACTACAAGGAGAGAGAGAGAGAGAGAGAGAGAGAGAGAGAGAACTCACCTAATGTAAGAGCAGAACGACAACACACACACACACACACACACACACACCGAACTCTACGGTAAGCACACGACCATCCAGACAAACTCGATACGACATGCCAGAATTTTAACTTGACGGTTCAAGACAATAGAGCCATTGTTTACAAAACATTACATCATGGATTGAAAGAAATGAGAAACGTTACGGGGGCTGGGAGTCCATTACTGGCAGACACGAGATGTGTGATACACGAATTTGCACACTATGGGTCTCCGTCAACGCTGCCTTGGGTAGGAGAATGGTTGAACTGATTATTCACTCCTACAGTATATTTGGCATGGGAAGAAGACTTGAAATCCACTAAATGATAATGTCGAGGTATACTGAAAATTGTGAGTTAAATATTATAGAAAATTAGCGAATTATTTGTAGAAATGACGAAATATCCTGAAAAAATTGACGAAATATTTTACAAAACTGACCAACTGTACGAAAAAATGTGACGAAATTTACTAATAATATCACGAAATAATATGACGAAATATACTAAAATTGTCGAAATATACTGAAAAAGACGAAATATTAAAAATAGACGAAATTTAATACTCAAATAATCTTTCAAAAAAGTTTTCTTTTTTACAAGCTGGTGGTGAGATGGTTATACTACTGGTACTGACTCGCACAACAAACTAGTGAAAAATATGATGAAACATACTGAATAATGCGAGGAAATATACTGAATAATGCGAGGAAATATACTGAATAACGTGGTGAACTATACTCACTAGTACGATGAAATATACTTAATAATGTGGTGAAATATACTGATCACTGTGATGAAATATACTGACAAATGGGTATTGAATAATGTACCGAAATATGCTGAATAATGTGACGAAATATACTGCATAATGTGATGAAATATATTGAGAAATTTGGTGAAATATACTGATTAATGTGATGATATATACTAAATAATGTGATGAAATGTACGGAATACTGTGACAAAATATACTGACTAAAGTAATAAAATAAACTGAATGATATGACGTTATATACTGATTGTGAGGAAATCTACTGATTGATGTAACAAACTATGCTGAGTAGTGTGACAAAATATTATGGTTAAAAATGACGAAATATAATGAACAATTTGACGATATCTATTATCCGTAGGCACATCCCGTCCTCCCTAAGTTAGTTACAATGATGATAAAGTAATCCTGAAAAAAAAGAAAGTACTGAAATAAGAGAAGAATAAGAAGGAAGATGATGCATTAACAAAAGATTTCAGATGGTGTTTATTTACTTCCCGTCCATTGTAATTCCTCGTATGGGTGGTGACCTGTATCGTATTTATTTGTTTGCTTTAGTCCGGCTTGTTTTTATATGTGAAGGCCAATTTCCTACACGCTTTGTTGTTTGTTTGTTCTGTGGTAAATGTTCTACTTTTGGTGGCCGCTGCAGGAGAGGGGGAAGAAGGTTAAAATGGACAATTACCTGTAAACTGAACGACTAAAGGCTCACACTGTGTCGCTGGTAGGGTGGTTAATCGGAAGATGAAATAAGGTGGGGCTACTGTTCACGTGATCTCAGCAGATGATTTACATTGAAGCTCTACCTTAACAAGAGAACATGTGACATGAATGGTCTATCGCGGTTCCTGAGCGTATTTCGCGATTTTCTGGGCGGAATTCTTATACATCTGTTAAGGAACAAACTTGTTTCGTAGTACAGAGCCCCGTTACAGATAGACGCCTCCGCCTACTTACCCACAGAAAGTCGCGCGTGCATTCACAACAAATAATAATCGTTGAGGACTTACCGTCAAATATCACGGAGTCTGAAGGTCCTGGTAGGCATGAAGGGCTTTATGGACGAGGGGTGTGAGGGAGGACACCGCTTTGCTGACTGTGGACACATCCACCTCCGACGGGACACCCAGAGACCTGCCAAAGCCCAGGTCGATGAAGCCTAAGTAGCTGAAGAAGGCGATGGCGACGAAGACCAGGATGATGACGTTAGTGACGTTGAGAGTGAGGAGATTCGAGTACGAGGTGGCGCGCGCTGCTTCCACCAGCATCTCCAGCAGCTCCTTTACCATGTTGTCATTTCCGGTGATTTTCGAGGAATCTGGAGACTCTTGTGATGCTAAGTGCCGCAGATCCTCATAGGCTGCTGTAGGGTCCTCCTTGGCACTGACGGCGAAGACGCAGGCGGTGAAGAAACAAAAGATTCTGAGGAACTTCATGATTTATGGAGTGGATGTGTGAATCCGGGAGTGTGTGATAAGGGAAAGCGTATGGGGAACCGCACTCCACTACTGCTTCGTCGAGACTACAGTACGGTAGAGGTGCCCCGCCGCTATCATAAGGAGCCACCGTTATGCCGGTCCGGGAGGGAGAGGTGGGGAGGTGGACGGATTGTTTAGGGGGTGGGGAGGGGATGGTGCGGGTGGGGACAGAATAACATTAAGACGAAGGGGGTAAAGAGAAGGGTGAAAATTAGAACCGCCTTCAGTTCAGATAAATTTTAAGGATGTAAAACTGACGACGCGTCTTGTGTGGCAGGTAATTCTTGTTGACATGTAAATCAATCCAGTCGTCACACTAGATTTACCCTTATTGTCCCACTGTTACTCTAATAGTGTGCAGTTTTGTTGAGCTTGGTCTACCCTCTTCCTTTAAATAAACTGGTAAAATAAAGGCATACTAGGAGTCTGAAGATAATAAAAAACAGACACTTTCACACTTACCTATGTGATTTAAGACGGTGATGGTGGTGGTGCTTTTTCAAGACAGTTGTAAAAGACTCCGTTTTCTATGTCGTCAATATAGCAGGCTGATGCAACCTGAAAGGTGATTTTCACTTAGCAATAAGTCATTAAAGATATAAATGATTTGATCTCTCAGTATACCGAATATTTGTTTAAATGTGTAGCAATTTCACACACAGTGCTCCAGCGATCTTGGTTAAATTAGACAGGTAACATTTAGGTGTTCCGGGGTGTACCAATACAGCCGACATTTTAGCCCGCCTGCACACGACCGTACGACAAGGACGGGTGTTATCGGACGTATTATTGTGACTTACTGGATGGGCAGTGTATATGGTGGGCAACTAGTTTTCTATGTGACATTTTTACCGATGATTCAATAGCGTTAGAAGACAGTCTTAATCATCCAGTGTATTGGATAACCTTGTTAAATGTGGGCACTTAAAGTGTCTGAGCTATTGATTGGTTATAAGTACAGGAACTGTAAACTATAGTACACTACCAGTATATACAGGACGAACAGGGAGTCTTTCCCTCATTGTTTACATCAATCGGTTCCCACTGACACCCGTTTGTCAGGCTGGTGTTTATTGTTAGGTGGTCTCTTCCGAGGATGTCAAATTATTATCAATGTGTAGTCTCCTTCCGGGTCCACCCCTTTGTTTCCGTCCACATGCACGGAACCAATTTCCTTTGTGGGTAATTTATAATGATTCGCTCCCCCTGATGTTGACTACTCAATTTTTTCCCGGCAAAGCAATCCAGCAACTTAAAGCAATTTTTAGGAGTTAAACCTTGCACTAATGTAGCGTATATAATGCTCATTGGTCATGCAAATAACAATGATTATATAATTTTCACCGAGAATTATCTGGTTCATCGCATACCAACGCTGATGAGCAGTGTTGGTATTTATACCTAGGCTTTCATTAGTTGTTGCCAATGTTATGTGTTACTGCATTTGACAACTAAATTATTTAACCGCATATTCTGGGTTAGTGCAGTACGTACCATGCATTACCTATCAGCAGTTAAAAAAATAAAAGACGTATTTCTGGGTATCAACAGCTGGCTTGAGCCTGTATTAGTGAGCCGGCCGGACAAACACAATAGTTAGCGTGAGTATGATGGAGGTGTTGTACAGGGGTAGGTGTGTTCCTTCCTCCTTGTTCTTTTTCTCAGAGCACTTGCATTAAAATCCGATTACACACCATTTATATGATTGACGACGTAACCTAACCTAACCTAACCTAAACTCATCGTCTAAGTAGTATAGTAATCGTCCATATGGGATGACTCCAAAAATCCTGGCTGAAGACGCGAGATACTGCAAGGTTACTTATACAGACAGTTCATAACTCGTAAAGGGGCGGTTAGTCGTCGCCTTAAACCAACACAGAACACACTCACGCCCGTCAATTTAAGACAGGAAACACCATGGTCTTGTAAAATTAGACTGTTATTATGTGTGTGTGTGGGCAGGTGACCGCATAATTTGCAGGTAAAGGGACCAGGTGTTCCTATAGCGTGAGGGTCTGCAATATATTTAGGTTAAGTTAGTTTAGTTTAGTTTAGTTTAGGTTAGGTTAGGTATGGTTAGGTTAGGTTAGACTAGAGATAATTTTTGTAGACCGCACCAGGGAAGTGAAGTCCTTCATATCAACACCCGAGGACGAGTTACTGCACCACGTGAACTGAACACCACCCGGTGTCCCCATGACCACGTGAGGTCCTTCATATCAACACTGAGGACGAGCTACTACACCACGTGAACACTACACCACCTGGTGTCTCCAGGACGAGTTACTGCACCACGTGAACTGAACACCACCCGGTGTCCCCATGACCACGTGAGGTCCTTCATATCAACACTGAGGACGAGCTACTACACCACGTGAACACTACACCACCTGGTGTCTCCATGACCAGCCCAGGCCCGGGCCATCAACTGCAATCTATAATAATTTTCCTTCTCTCGGCAATGAAAGCTTTTGTTAAACGACCCACCCACCCCATGTCTTTGTATGTAATAATTTATTTTTGTCCAATGTATATTTTCAGCCGAACTTTTTCAATAAACCATTAATTATTATTATTATTATTATTATTATTATTATTATTATTATTATTATTATATTGAGGTAGAACATATAAAATGAGAATAATAGTTTTAATGATGAAAACTGACGGTATTGTTAACTCAAGATAAGGTGTGCAGACAAAATATTGAGAACAAATTAAAAAAGACAGAAGACACACATAATATAATATCAGGTTAAGAATCATGATACGCAAGTATGCTCAGCACAGGTATAAGATTTAGGTGAACTATAATCACAATAGACGGGGATATTGTGTGTGTGTGTGTGTGTGTGTGTGTGTGTGTGTGTGTGTGTGAACTTATTGTACATGCAAGAGCGGGCGTATGTGCTAAAGTGTGTGAGTGTGGGTGTGTACGTGTGATTGTCGTCAATTTTGCTCCAGTAAACACTGTGGCATCCAACACAGGATGTTTACTTGTATCAGCTTACCTCCATCTTCCTCCTTCAGTCACTCTCTCCCTCCTTCATTCCCTTCCTCCTTCACTCCCTCCCCTTCACTCTCTTTCTCACTCCTCACTCACTCCTTTCCTCCTTCCCATCCTCCATCACTCCCTCCCTCCTTCAACCACTCACTCCCTTCCTCACTCACTCATTCACCATTAACTCCCTCCATCTTTTCCTCCTTTCTTTCCTCTCTACTTCCCTTTATTTCCATCTACTCCCTACCATTTCTTCCTTTCTTACCGTCTACTCATATCTTTTCTTCCCCCCTTCCTTTCCGTCCAATCCACTCTATCTCTTCCTTTCCTTCTGCACCCTTCTTTGTATTTACTATCTTTTCTTCTTCTTCTCCCGTCCTTTTTCCATCTCTCCTCTCTCCCTTTCTCGTTAGTCCCTCTCTTGCTACTCCCTCACTCTTATTCTTTCTGTTATTGGTACTCTGTCTGTCTGTCTGTCTGTCTGTCTCTCTCCCAGCCTCTCCCTCTCCTATCACTTCTTCGCAATCTCTTTCTCTTCTTTTCTTTCTAGTCTCTGACTTATTCTCTTTTATTGTTCGTTGTCTTTCTTACCCTCCAGCAAACACCAATTACCGAGACCATCTATGTCAATGGGATTGGGATTGAGGTGTTGACTGACAGCCTGGAAAATAATTAATCGGCTTGTGACTTCCTAAAAATAATTAGCTGTCGACGTGACAGAAGGAAAAAACTCATGACGTCATGATGAATTGATTAGTGTGTGGCATAATAAGATTTTTTTGTGGAAATAATTAGGTAGTTACGTCATATAGATAATTAGGTGGCGACGTAACAGAAAAATAGCTTTTGACGTCATTATAGATTAGTTACTTAATAGTTATTATACTGTAGATAATTAAATTGTAACATCATGAAAATAATCCGATTATAACATCGCTATAGGCGATCAGATTAGACATTACTGAGGATAATCAGGTTGATATCACTGAAGAAAATCAGATTATGACATTATCACACTCAGATTATGATTTCATTGGAGACAAACCGACTGCGATAACCTACAAAAATTGGTTGTCATATCACAAAAAATATGACATCACCTTGTGACGTCATAAGCATAATTAGCTTGATATGTCACTGTCAGTTATCGTCTTGTAGCATTATGGACAGTGAAATTGCTTTTAACGATATTGAAGAAAAAATTAGTTCACTGTAAAAAAAAACAAAAAAACAGTCTGACACCTTAGATAAGAGTAGCTTTTAACGTTACTGTTCTGTTCTTTCACCTACTCTCTTCCTTCTTATAATCAATGAATTATTTCCCACTACGACTAATTCTATCCAATCTTATGCTGATGATTCCATTCTTCACTCTTCTTCTCATTTTTCCATTTCCCCTAATTCTCAAACTAGATCTGTTTCTAGCGCTGATATCATTTCATCTATCAATGCGGATCTGTGCAGCACCACCGAATGGGGAGGTAGAAACTGGGTTAAATTCAATAGTAATAAAACAGTATTTACCAATTACACTTCCCAAATTAGATGATCTCCCACCAATCACATTTCAGGACGCAATCATTCTGCCAAGTTCTAAAATAGATAGGCTGTGCCTCACCATTTCCTCTAATATGTCATGGATGCCACACATCCACAACATTGCTAAAGCTGCCTCCCGAAAGCTGGGAATGCTGTACACATGCCGGAGATACTTCACTCCTGAACAGTTGCTTCAAATTTTTAAGGGATAAATTCGTCCCAACTTGGAGTACTGCTCTCATATCCAGTACTGGATACTCTTCTTCTGTTCAACTGTTAGATAGGATGGAATCAAAGGCATTTCGTCTTAATGACTGTCCTCCTTCAGTTGACAATATTTCTTCCCCTTCTCTTCGCCGCAATATTGCTTCACTCTCTCTCTTTTACAGGTACTTTAACGGGCAATGTTCGGTGAATTTGGCATCCTGTGTACCGCCGGTAAGGCCGTGGGCTCGTAACACACGTCTTGCCCGCGGTGCCCACCTTTTC